CGTTTAGAACCACCACGTGGCAATCACGAGCAGGGAACGTCTGACGATGGAGGTTACGAACGAGGACGAACGGACGAGGAGGTTACGGACGAGTTTCCCATTGGACTATCGGTCGTCGGCGGGCAGAGCCGACGGGGCAATCTCCTCCCTCTCCCACCCCACGGGGCCCACCTCCTCATCCATCCAGCCCGCAACCGCGCCCGATGAAAGTTCGGGAGGTTCGTGTGGAGCGACAGACGTGGGGGGAGGGGGGGGGGAGCTTCCGCACGGCGTTGCCGAAAAGGGCGAAGCGGCTTCGACCGTTCGCAGTGACAACTCCTCCTGCTGCTTTTGCCGCTGCTGCCAGACTGGAGCTGCCCTTGAGCACGATGGCCAGGCACGAGGAGCTTCTCCTGCTCTCGCTCCACAACTGCCCCATCGCTCACGGGGCAGTTGAGGGGGTCGGTGTGTGGGGAGTGGTGGAGAGTTTGATGCCAATAAAAAAAATACCCAGGCAGGTGCTTGGTTTTGGTGGGGCTAAGTGCTGTTAACGAAAACCTATGAAGGGCCGATACGCTGCACGAGGGGGTGGGTGGTCAGCGCCACGCCCGTCCGCCTTTGTCTCCCCGCTTGCGATGTTTGTACATCGCACCAGGTACTCATTTGTAAAGCTGAGTCGGCCTAGCGGAGGCACAGGACCGGTTCAGATAATTATCATTGCTACGTTACCGCTCCCCACACACTCACAACACACACACCCATCACACACAAACAACACACACACAATATACACTCTCAACACACACACACCCAACACACACACCCAACGCTCACAATACACACACACCCAACAAACACACACACCCAACACCCAATACCCAACACACACCCAACACATACACACACCCAACACACACACACACCCAACTTACACACCAAACACAAAACACACTCAACCAACACACACATACACTCCCAACACACACACACCCAACACACACACCCAATGCTCACACACACCCAACACACACACCCAACACACACACACACACACACACACACCAACACACACACACCCAACACACACACTCACTCATCTCCCCCAAAATCGCTGGGCACGTTTCTCGTGACATACGCGCCGGGACTGCCCGACCACTCATCGACGGGCCGAGCCAAGGCAATGAGATGAACATTAAAACATAAAAATAATGAAACACACGCACACGAAATAAAAAAAAACCGTGATATTCCGGGAGAGCTGATGGCTGGTGTTGAGCCGACTTCGCACAGTCGGACTATTACAACAGCGATTACCCGAAGACCCTAATGGATACAAACAAGCTGCGTTGTTTATGGGCCGAGATAACGTTAGTGGGGGGGGGGGGTATAAGAGACAACAATTATGCATGTATGTAGTGTGTGTGTATATACCATCAAATCGTAACATCATAAGCAGGCATGAACGAGACGCGTTTATATACACTGGGGGCTTTTACATCAGCATCGCTACCCCAGACCTCGAATCATTGCACCTACCACTCACCCCCCCCGCCTCCTCTCCAACATAATCGCCCCTCTCCACCACCACCACCTTAGTCTTCCCCGTGCTAAGATAAAACGAGAGAACGTGTACATGTAGATAAGTGGCGCTAAGCGTTTTGATTTGAGTTCACAAATCCAGCCACCTGCTCGCCTACCGTTTTACGACTGCTGTGTGTGTCTGTGTGTGTGTCTGTGTGTATGTGTATATGTGTGTGTGTGCGTGTCTGTGTATGTATGTGTGTTTATGTGTGTATGTTTGTCTGTATGTGTGTCTGTGTGTGTATGTCTGTATGTTTGTCTGTGTGTGTCTGTGTGTGTATGTGAGTGTATGTGTGTGTCTGTGTGTGTATGTGCGTTGGCTTGGGTCATGTAGCTCGCATGCCCAGCCACCGCATGCCTTAACAGCTTTTGTTCGGCCGGATCGAGGGGGCTAGACGGGCGCGGCACGGGCTGGAGAAGAGATGGAGTGATGTGGTACAGGAGGACGTGGAGCTGAGTGGACTTGCCGATGACTGGTACCAGCGGTGTCAAGATCGGCCTCAGTGGAGGAGGCTCGTGAAGGACGCTACTGGGCAGTTGGAGGCAGTCGCCCTCCAACAACAACGGAGGGCGGAGGAGCGACGCTCACAACAACGAGCGGAGCGCCGGGTGGCTAAAGCACAGCAAGTTGGTACAGTAGGGGGCACAGGTGGTGCATCAGCCAGTCATCTCGGTCATTTCGGTCAGTCGACCCGTGGCACCTGGGTCTGCCCCGTGACCTCCTGCCAGCGGGCGTTCGACACTTCACGTGGCCTCAAGGTGCACTTGGCCTGGCACAAGCATCGTGGTGACGTCACCGCCACTTAGTGGCGAATGGCGGTTGTTGTTGTCTGTGTGTGTGGCCTCAAGGTGCACATGGCCTGGCACAGGCGTCGTGGTGACGTCACATCCACTTAGTAGCGAATGGCGGTTGTTGTTGTTGTCTGTGTGTGTGTATGTGTGTGTATGTGTTTATGTGTGTATGTGTGTGTCTGTGTGTGTATGTCTCTGTGTGTGTCTATGTGTGTATGTCTGCGTGTGTATGCATGTGTGTGTGTATGTCTGTATGTCTGCGTGTCTATGCATGTGTGTGTGTATGTCTGTATGTATGGGGAACGGTAGCGTAGCAGTTCGCGCGCCGCGCTACGAACCCGGCGACCCGAGTTCGATTCCCGCTCACGGCCAACATCAGTGAGAATTATCCGAACCGGTCCTGGGCCTCCCCCAGGTCGACTCAGCCTCAAATGAGTACCTAGTGCGGTGTGTAAAACATCGCCACTGGGGAGACAAAGGCGGTCGGGCGTGGTGCTGTCCACCAGAGGTGTGGACTCGAGTCATGTGACTTGGACTCGAGTCAGACTCGAGTCATGAATTTGATGACTTCAGACTCGACTTGGACTTGCATAACAATGACTTTGTCCCACCTCTGCTGTCCACCCACCCCCTCGTGTACCGTTCCAGCCTTCATAGGTGCTCGCTAACAGCACTTGGCCCAGCAGTCTGTTAAGGCTACACGGAGGATCTTAGCGCGCTGCGCCACGAACCAGGCCATCCAAGTTCGATTCCCGTTATCGGCCAACATTGATGATGACGATGGTCTGAACCCGTGGCGTGTTGGGGTTTGTGTCGACGGCTGATGCCTTGCAAGTGAGTGGCTGGTGCGATGTGCAAACATCGCTACTGGGGAGACAAAGGCTGCCACCCTCGTGCGCCGTTCCGGCTTTCATCGGTGCGACTCGTTAACAGAATTTGCCCCAAGGCTGTAATTATAATACATATTGGGGAGGGGGGGGGACATATTCAAATATGCTCAAAATGTCCCCCTCCCCAATATATTGCTATAAAATAGATTTCTGTTTATTTGATTGTGGTTATGGTTGTACTTTATTAATCCCTAATCTCTGCCATTACATACAATGAAACAAGAAAAGGTTAAATAAAACAGCGCAATGTAATACAATACACTATTAGACATTATTGTAAAAAAGAAATAAAAGTCAATCCCATGTGTTAGTGAAATTTTTTTTTATATTTTAGGCAGGAAATTAGTTTCCAAACTTAGATTTTTTTCTGGGGGGGGGGGGGACCCCCAGACCCCCTGGAAAATTTGCTCCCCCCCAATGTTGTCTCCATGGCTACGGCCTTGACTTGCCCCAACAGTCTGTGAAGGCTGTACGGGGGATCTTTGTCTTTTGTTGTTTTGGGCTCACCTCTGCTGCAGGTTGGTTGTGGCAGTCGCGGCAAGAGGCCAACGGCTCGCGATGAGCTGGCTGCGGCGTAAGGCACTACCACTAGAGTACCAAGGTGCGCCTATTACAGTTGCACTACTTCGTACGGCTGATGTTAGCGTAGCGCAACAGCTGTGGTTTTACATCGGGGTGGTTGAGCCGGGTTGTATCTACGTTGAACTTCCTTCGCACCGTACGTAGCCGACCGCGCTAATCGGAGGTGCGGGGTAAGGACAACAAACTAAACGCAACAAACAGCAACAACAAGAAGCAGTTCGAAAGAAATGAGTGGTGATTGCGTCACGAGTGGGAAATTAAATCGATCAAAATTAAGTACATCAGTCAGTCAGTCCAATATGTATAAACGAGTGGCCATATTCAGCGAAGAGCTGAGACGGAACACAACTTTCACTCAGCAGAGTACTGTGACTGTGGTCGAAGGATGAGTGGGGATGTGATTTATATGATGGTGATGACTATAACGATGATCGGTATCAGCAGCGATAATTAATTGTAAATCGCCTTGACATGAAGCGATTTATACATCTATGTAAGACACGGACAGCATCAATAAATAATGCAAAATGTCGTAAAATTCGCAAAACCGTCATCATCATCATCATCGAAAGTGGTGGTTCTTATCAACAGATATCAAGCGTCATCATCAGCATCACCATCATCAATCACCATCATGAACAATATATCGTAATGCAAAGCATAATTACAACTATTCTATTTGATAGTGATGGCCATCATTAGCCTCATAATCATCGTCATCATCATCGTCATCATCATGATCGTCATCGTCGTCGTCATCATCATCGTCATCATCGCCATCATCATGGTCGTCATCATCGTCATCGTCGTCATCATCATCGTCGTCATCCTTATCATCGCCATCGTCATCATGATCATCAGTCCTGAGAGCCACAATGTTTCCTGGCCACGTTAAATTGCTCCTCCTAGTAACAGTTGCTTTTAATTTGAAATACCTCCATCTCATCTAAGTACAAATTCGAAAATAGTATCTGTCATCCGGAGGCCGGCCTAGAACGTGGAAATGGCATTGTTACCCTTCCCCCCACACCCACAAAACCAACTGGTTTGAACTCTCACCATCTCATCGCTGACTAAACATTCATAAACAGTATCTGCCATCCGGACCCCGTCATAGGAACGTGGACTTGGCAACAAACGCACACCGGACAAATAATGATTAACAGTCGACAAGATTGGTGTGTATCGAGACACTTTCATTTAGCGTTTCATCCGTACACCGGCTACAAGTAAGCACACAACAAGACACGCGGCATATATTTGATTAGCAAACGCACATCGAGAAGAAATGCACACTCCAGGCATATTCACATTGTTCACACCCGGCTAACAACATCCATGATACCTCTACCGCTATGGCTACCTATGCTAAGCCAGGTGTGCCAGCGACACGAACACACAAAAACAGAGAATTCAGCGAGGATTTAAGCCCTGGATCTCAACAACAACACGCCACCTGTTTGAATAGTAATCGGCAATTCTCGACGTCCATCACACAGTTGTTATACGAGGGTGGAAACAAAATCATGAATGTATAACGATACGGAACGTTGATGCTTCCCACTGGTGCAATTGTAACTCTAGAGACATATTTCAAGTCGTGACAAGAGATGTTAACTACCTCGCCTAGTATGCAGGAGGTCGTTGGTTCGATCCCGACCCTGACGCCCGCTGTGTATTTCGAATTTGCGGTGTCTCTCTCTCTCTCCGTGGTGGTCGCGTGGATTTAAGCTGGGTTAGAGGAGGAGAGCGCCTTGACAAAGGAATTTACATATCAACGTCATATTATATATGAATTTGAGACCTCCCCACCACCTACACATTCCACAAGTAGTGACTAATCCCATATCTGCATTTCCACAAATATGCTAAATTCCTCTGTTGATATGTAAATTCCTTTGTCAAGGCGCTCTCCTCTAACCCGTGCTTAAATATACGCTGCCAAGCTTGGTGGTGTTCATTCGGACGCTGTCTTTCCGACAGCCCTGTTCTTCACCTGAGGACGGCTGCTTGCGTTGTGGCCGAAACGTCGTGATAATTTTATTTTTTTATTATTTCCCTTCTACGTGACTTTACTGAAAGAACCAAGAAGATGAGTTAATATATACTGTAGTTCATAGCATTGGAGTGATATTATTGCAATGATATGAAGACAATACAGCAGGAATAAAAAGTGATAATGCACAGCTCCTTTGGCAATCCCCTGCTGTATGAAGACTGATGTTGTCCGTAGGGGTTGTTTGACCATACTTCACCACGGTGGTCAACGCGTGTGGTGGGAAAAAAAGCCGGAAAATCCGAGTTCCAGAGGTTGAATGAATGAACGGTGTGTGATTTGATTTATTGGCATCACTTGTTTGGCCTCTGTGCCACGTGCGTGTGGGTGTTTGTGATGTGTGTGGGTTTGTGTAGTCTGTGTGTGTGTGAGATGAGTGTGTGTAGCGTGTGTGTGGTGTGTATGGTGTGTGTGGTGTGTGTGTAGAGTGTATGGTGTGTGTAGTGTGTATGGTGTGTGTATGGTGTGTGTGTAGTGTGTATGGTGTGTGTGTGTAGTGTGTATGGTGTGTGTAGTGTGTATGGTGTGTGTGTGTCTGTATATATTTCTACGATAAGTGTGCGTGTTGTGTCTATATGATCAATGTGTGTGTCTATTTGATCAATGTGTGTGTCTATATGATCAACGTGTGTGTCTATATGATCAATGTGTGTGTCTATATGATCAATGTGTGTGTGTCTATGATCAGTGTATGTGTCTAACTGATCAATATTAGTGTGTACCACGCGTCCACCACCGCCACCGCCACCACCACCCCCACGCGCCGCTCACTCCGTCACGATCTGCGGGCGAGGAATGCGCCAAGTCCCCGCGGCGAACACGGGGTTGTCGCGCCCGGGGTAGAACCCTCCGCTCCCCCACCCTCCTCCATCTCCATCTCCTCCTCCCACCCCACGCCGCCCCAGCTGCCGCCACTGGAGATCGCGCTCGCGCCCGCGTGCCCGCGCGCGCCACGCCGTGACGAGGAAGGCGCCCGCGGCGCACAGCACCAGGGCGATGCCTCCTCCCAGCGCCAGCAACCCCAGAAGGTTGGAGGAGGAGGAGGCGGGAGAGGAGTCATCTGGGGGCAGCACGAGGAGGACACGTGCGCGCGCACTCACTCACTCACTGCTGCTGCTGCTGCTTGGGTTGTGGCTACTACCTGCGGTGTCCTGGTCTTACCCAGCATCGTACTGGGACATCTCTACAGGTCGCATAGTGATTGCGATGTAATAATCAGCATCATCATCATCACTTCGACTTGTAACGCCGTGCAGCGGTCGCACAGTATCCGCACGCTCTTGAAGAGACGGTGAGAGAGGACGACTCAGAGACAAAGAGGGGATGACTCACAGAGAGAGGACGAGAGAGAGAGAGGACGACTCAGAGGGAGAGAGGACGACTCAGAGAGAGAGGGAAGACGAATCAGAGACAGAGAGGGGATGACTCACAGAGAGAGAGAGTAGATGACTCAGAGAGAGAGAGAGAGGCTCAGAGAGAGAGGACGACTCAAAGAGAGAGAGAGGACGACTCAGAGAGAGGAGATGACTCAGAGAGAGAGAGATAGGCTCAGAGGAGGAACCACGCGGCGGTGATGTGCCGGCGCTACCAACCATTGCCCAAGTTCTGCTGTTCTATATATTCGTGTAAAGGGTTTTCCATCCAATAATGAGTGTTTATATGTGGGAGGAAACTGGCGTACCCCGAGAAACTAACCTTAGGTATTGTATTCATCAGCTAAAGCCCACTGAGCCATTAAGTATTTTTTCAGAGGCCACATAACGCGATGATAGCTCACCCAAGTGGCCCATCACATGCAGGACATTTTTATATTCGCCAAATAATCCAAACACGAGCGTGCGAGCGAGCGAGCGAGGGGGCAACGCTCTATCCCGTACACGTGGACAGATGGAGATCGCTACTTTTCTGTGCCGCCTTCTCCTGGCGAGCCGGGGGTACGGCTCATCCCCCCTCGACTACCCACGGGAAGGGAGTTTGGCAACATCTGTGCGGTGATCCACCACGTGCATCGCCGACACCGCCCGGCATATATCGACGATTCGCCATACTTCACCATGCAGGTCAGTGCGGGTTTGTAAAGCGGTTGGGCCCTGGGGGCGATTCTAATCGCATGGTGCTAATGGGAGGGTGGGGGTGGGGGGGTGCGTACGGTGCGAAAGAAGGTCAACGTGCATGCATGTCATGGATTCGTAGCGGAGTGCGCTAATCACGGCGCCACCACTCAATCGAACCAACAAATAACCCGTGAGTATATAGTGTGATTCGAAACACTGTCATTCACGAGTGGAACAAAAACAACTTAAAAGCGTGCAAAGAAGCACGGGGAAGATGCCTGCTGGGAATGACGTTGAGAGGCAGGAGGAGCACGTGGTTTAGAGGAAAGTGCACACGCTTGAGAGACGGGGAAGGACTTCATCCAGCAGCGGAGTGACCATGGCCGATGGCGATTGCTGCTGCTGTGAAAGCCAGATTGGGTCAAACCTACCTTCAGGCATGGAGTTAGACTCCTCAGACTGGACTCCCTCTCTCGATGAAACCCACCTTCAGGCATGGAGTGGGACTGGTCGGACTGAACTCTCTTTCGATCAAACCCACCTTCAGGCATGGAGTTGGACTCCTCGGACTGAACTCTCTCTCGATAAAACCTACCTTCAGGGATGGAGTCGGACTCATCGGACTGAACTCTCTCTCGATCAAACCTACCTTCAGGCATGGAGTCGGACTCATCGGACTGAACTCTCGATCAAACCTACCTTCAGGCATGGAGTCGGACTCATCGGACTGAACTCTCTCTCGATCAAACCTACCTTCAGGCATGGAGTCGGACTCATCGGACTGGACTCTCTCTCGATCAAACCCACCTTCAGGCATGGAGTCGGACTCCTCGGACTGGACTCTCTCTCGATCAAACCTACCTTCAGGCATGGAGTCGGACTCCTCGGACTGGACTCTCTCTATCCGCCTTGACGACAGCACGTGGTGGCCCTGAACGCCGCTCCTGGGATCCGAACCCTGGGCCTCGGCCAAGCCGTCGCAATCCTATTGGAGCAGAGCGCACCAATCAGACGCGGCGGGAAGATTTCAATCGAACGAGGCCGCGTTGCAGGTGAACTATTGGCGAGGTATTGGCGGTGTCGTGGACATTGTGCGGCAGTCAATATCTAGCTGCAAGATGACCTCTAGAGCTGTTTCCTTTGGCTAAGTTCCAGCTCTGAGAATGAAAATATTGCTTTAGACCAGGGGTGGGGAACGTCTGGGCCGTACAAGGCCCGCGAAATCATTTGGTGTGACCCTGCCAAGGCAACCGCAGGCAGCACTCGAAATTCAATAAATCTCGGAGCAAACCTGGAAAAGCAGTTGCGAGTAGCAACATCATCAATACCAGCTAACATCACACGCCTCACCAAAGAGAAGCAGTTCCAACCATCGCATTAGGAGTGAGTGAATTAAATGTTTGACCAAATATAACAGGCAAATCTTTAAGTTGATCATTTTGTACGGCACGCGAATGACGTTATAAATATACCAAATGGCCCTTGGCAGAAACAAGGTTTCCCACCCCTGCTCTAGGCTGTCATTCGCTCAACGCGACCCTCGTATTTCAGAGCGGCTGTCCTCTCTGTCACGTGGACCACAGGTCTCAGACAGAGTGTAGCTCTGCAATAGCCACGTTCTTGGGGCCGTTCTCCGCGGCACGATGAGTTGCGCCACTCAGAAATAGCCTCGGCGACTCAAACGTGCCTCGCAATCGACTCTCTCGTTTCCAGCCACTCCAGTGGCAATGCCTTCCTGATGGGGGGGCAATCGCCACTTCAACAACAACAACAACGAAAGTGTGAATGTAACCGCCCTAGATTCCAGGGGTCACTGGCGACCCAGAGGTCATTTGAACGAATCTCCGGATAGCCCCCTCTCCCCCCACCCTCCCCCCCCCCCCCCACCTACGTAGATATTTTTTGGGGGTTTAAACCGCAGCAATTCGTACCGGAGCGCAGGAGCCCGCGCAGATGCCGAGTTGGCAGTGGATGTAGACGGAGTCGGCGTCGATGATCGTGAACACCTTGACGCTGAAGACGGCGCTCGTGTTCACCCCGTTGCCCTGGTGGATGGACACTGACTCCTCGACCGGGCAGCTGGCGTCAACACAAAAGACAAAGATCCCCCGTATAGCCCTTAACCAGACTGCTGGGGCAAGTGCTGTTAGCGAGCGCCTTTGAAGGCCGGCACTGGCGCACGAAGGGAGAGGGGTGGCCAACACCACCCCCGGCCGCCTTTGTATCCCCAGCGGCGATGTTTGCACACCGCCACCAGGTACTCAATTTAGGCGGAGTGGACCTAGGGGAGGCCCAGGACCGGTTCAGATAATCGTCACCGGTGTTGACCGTGAGCGGGAATCGAACTCGGGTGGCCGGGTTCGTAGCACAGCGTAGCGCTAACTGCTACACTACCGCTCCCCACACGCACGCACACGTGACACGTCCCCCACGTTAGTCCCGCACCCCCTGCCTCCCCCAACAGGGTCAGACGATTAATCGATCGGCGCGGTCTTTCGTTTAATTCATCCTCACAGCAGAAGCAGCAGCAGCACTAGCGGCGGCGGCTTTTGGCTGACCATCGAACAAAGACGGTCACTGCACCGCACGCGTTCAGATGCGCTTCTGCGGCCGTCTGGAACCTCCTCTTCCTTCCGATATTTGGCAGCAACTGGAGCCATGCAATTTTGAATAATAGAGATTGACAAACTCACTTCTTTAGAACGTATGTTGGTGTTGTGTTTGTTGTCCTGCCCCCGCACTTCCGATTAGCGCTGTTGGCTCAGCGCAATTCGAAAGTATTTCAACACACACGATACATCCACACAATTTAAGGGACACATTTGTTTTAAGCCAAGGCCCGCCCGTACGTAAGTTATCATTCTTCGCTGGAACGTTTCAACGCATCCAAATGGTTCAACGCAGGGAGAGGGTCTCCAACCAAAATAACAAAGGGGGCGTTTGTTTTTTGAATTTGGTCAAACAAAACTTCAATATATCAAGAGCCACACTCCACTGTGGTGAATACCAGACGGTGAAACGTCACGAAGCACATCCTTGAAGAGCCCCATGCGGCTACCAAGTCGCAGATTTTCCGACCCCTGGATCAATGATGATGATGATAATACGAATAGTTGTCGCCCCTCCTGTGAAGGTCCGTTGGCTTGGTTGAGAAGTTGGTGATCGTGGTTTGGGATGTGTAGACCGAAGTGGACTCATTTCTCTCTTGTGACAACTTTTTCTGTTGTTTGTGCCGTTTGTTTATTTGTGTACACACTTTTGTTTATTTGCTTGGCAGTATGGGGTTGCATTTACATGGCAGTTAGCTGTATGCAGGATTTGGTCGTTATGGGATGGCACAATATAAAATACAATTATTATTATAACACTTGGGTGAATCTAAGGTCATAAATGTTGTGATACTGTTTGCATGTGCATCTGCAAACGCCAGGCTAAAACTGGCAAGATTGCTGTTGTTTTTTTTTTCTTCTTGGTTCTTTCGGTAAAGTCACGTAGAAGGAAAGTAATAAAATAATAAAAATAAAACATAATACAATAATTCTCACGACGTTTCTGTTGCTATTTGTTTTTAAGATCTTCGCGCTTAGGCATTATCATCAACAACATCATCATCATCATCGTCGTCGCCTGCCTCACCCCGGCGGGCCGATGAGGGGGTAGGGGGTCCCTCGCCGCGGCTCTGGACTCGCGCTCGCCCAGCACGACTCCAGGAGCAGCGCCAGCGTCGCCGAGTCGTTGTGGAGCCGCGCGCCCACGAAGAGCGGCTCGGCGGTGCGCAGGCGGAGGGCGCCGCGCACCGGGTCCGAGATGTCCGGGGAGGCGAGCAGCAGCAGCGAGGCGACCAGCACCCCCGATGCGGACAGCTCCATCTCCACCTGCCTGTGATGGGCACCGCGACATCAGCTATGACAGCAGCAGCAGCAGCAACGAGGCGACCAGCACCCCCGATGCGGACAGCTCCATCTCCACCTGCCTGTGATGGGCACCGCGACATCAGCTATGACAGCAGCAGCAGCAGCAGCGAGGCGACCAGCACCCCTGAAGCGGACAGCTCCAACTCCACCTGGCTGTGATGGGCATGCGGCACGCCACGTCGAGTATACACCGCGGCATCAGCCATAACAGCAGCAGCGAGGCGACCAGCACCCCTGATGCGGACAGCACAAACCTCCACCGGCACGCCACGTCAGGAATACTCGTATGGGGAGGTGTGTGGGGGTCTTGGGGGTAGGAGGTTGTGGACAGAAAAGTGGGTACGGGGGCTATGGGGTATAGGGGGGGGGGGGGCTCTGTGTGTTGGAGGCTAGAAAGTTTGGGGGGGGGTCTGTGTGTGTGTGGGATATGGGGGTATGGGGGGGCTCTGTGAATGGGGGGTTAGGGGGGTATGTGGGGGGGCTCTGTGAGTGGGGGGCTAGGGGGGTATGTGGGGCTCTGTGAGTGAGGGGCTAGGGGGGTATGGGGGGGGCTCTGTGAGTGGGGGGCTAGGGGGGTATGTGGGCGGGCTCTGTGAGTGGGGGGCTAGGGGGTTATGGGGGGGCTCTGTGAGTGGGGGCTAGGGGGGTATGGGGGGGCTCTGTGAGTGGGGGGCTAGGGGGGTATGTGGGGGCTCTGTGAGTGGGGGGCTAGGGGGGTATGGGGGGGTCTGTGAGTGGGGGGCTAGGGGGGTATGTGGGGGGGCTCTGTGAGTGGGGGGCTAGGGGGTATGTGGGGGCTCTGTGAGTGGGGGGCTAGGGGGTATGGGGGGGGGCTCTGTGAGTGGGGGGCTAGAGGGGTATGTGGGGGGGGGGGGGGCTCACGTGAGCTCGGGGTGCAGGTCTCCCGGCAGGCTGGCTATGATGGCTGCGGGGTAGGTGCACGTGAAGTTGAGTTGCAGCGCGTAGCGCAGCACGGGAGAGCGCCGCTCCGTGTAGCGCAGCGCGTTGCTGTAGCTGATGAGCGACTCGGAGCGCTGCGGACAGCAACAAGAAACAACAGCGATACGTAACAACAGCATAATAAATCACAACAACGCGCAGCGTACAACGAATACCAACAATAACGAACAAAAGATAATAACAATATAATAAATAACAACAAACAACGTAACAACAACGAACAATAACAAATAATAACAACAATATAATAATGAACAACATCGATAAACAGCAATAACAACAAATGGCAGACACAAATAAACGCGACACACAATCACAACAACAGACGACAGCAGCAGCATCAGAAGCAATGCGAGTCTCTGTGTGTCTAAAAACATCGTCACGAGAGATACAAAGGCGGCCGGGCAGGGCGTGGTGCTACGCCACCCACACCCTCGCGTGCCGTGTCGGCCTTCATAGCTGCCCGCTACGAGCACTTGCCCTAACAGCTCGTTAAAGGCTATTCGGGTGATCTTTGTCTCTGCGAGTCTCTGTCGAGGCCGGTGTTCATTTTCAAAGGCGGGAGTCACAAGCCATCGGCGTGAGAAGGCCGCCACACATTTTGAATCCATTGGGGCTTTGACAGCAGCACGATGATGATGGAGGCGGTGTTTTCACTGTATTGTGTCGGGGGGCCGGACTAAAAGCAACCAGCGACCGACATTGTCCCGCGGGGGCCTTGCAGATGTAGTGTAATCGCGCCGGCTGGTGGCCGGCAGTAGTGGCCACTGCGGTGGACAGACGGCGGCACGCGCCGGCTGAGCACGTGCGCGGGTCGTGTGGGCAGGGCGGAGGAACTGGGACGAGGGTCACGGAGGAACCCGTCCGGAGGAGGCCCCTGGAAGCTGCTGGCGGGTTCGAGAAGGGACGCGGCAGAGCCAGGGCCGCGCTGGGAGGATAAAAGGGAGGCGGGGGGGGGGGGGCATGAAGGCTGCCGGTTTCTGGGAGTGGACTCGGTGGCTGACTCAGTCAGCGTCGTCAGTGTTGGACGGCTCGTGTACAGGCCAGGCTAGGCCACTGTGGAGAGAGTGCGGACGAGACCGTGAATCTTCTTGGTTCTTTCGGTAAAGTCACGTAGAATGGAAATGATAAAATAACAAAAATAAAACATAATAAAATAATTCTCACGACGTTTCGGCCACAACGCAAGCAGCCGTCCTCAGGTGGAGAACAGGTCTGTCGAGAAGACAGAGTCTGAATGAGACCGTGAATGTTCTAAATAAACGAAGGTGCCCTCCTACAAACCTCGTCTCCGAATCATCGACACGATGAAGACCCGCTGCGCTTCGTGTACGCGTGCGTGCCTCTAAATGTGCGTGTCCGTGTGTCTGTGCGTCTCACGGTGACCCGGGTGCCGCAGCTAGTGAGGGAGTCGGTGCGGAACAGCCACGAGCGTTGCCTGCCGGCCCCCTCTTCTGATCCTTCGGCCCCCTCTCCCCCCTCCCCTCCTCCACCAGCCCCCCACAGCGCCACCCCCCCACAGCGACGATCGTTCAGGTGCAGATCGGGCAGCTGAAGAGGACAACGTCGTCATCAACACCATCATCACCGACACCATCAACACAAACATCATCATCAACGTCATCATTAACGTCATCGTAAATCGCATCAACACTATCGTCACCACCACCATCATCATCAACATCGTCATCATCGTTAACATCATCGATACCATCATCACCGATACCGTCAACACAAACATCATCATCATCATTAACGCCATCGTAAATCGCATCAACACTTTCATTACAACCACCATCATCGTCATCAACACCATCATCACCAACACCGTCAACACAAACATCATCATCAACATCATCATCATCATTAACATCGTAAATCGCATCAATACCATCATCGCCACCATCATCAACATCATCATCATCAAAATAATCGATATCATCGTCAACATAATAATCATGTAATTACCATCAATGTCACACACACTTATAATCATCAATTAATTATCACAAGCATTTAATAATCAATTAACAATAATCACAAACACTCCTTATTGCCATCATCAATGCATCATTAAACATACTCATCGTCTCCATCAAGCAATTATCATCGTGATATATCATTACACTCATCATCATAATCAACTAATCATCGCGATTACAGCTACTTGATGGAAAACATTCGCCGTCACGATCATATGTATCATTATTTCCACACGTACATCCAATGTCAACATTTATCATCATCACCATCACCACCACCATCAATCACCTGGATTCCACGTTTCAGGAAGAAACTCGGTTCCACGCGCAACTCGACTCCGTCACTCCCGCAGAGAACACGCATCCCCAGCTCTCCCGGCAAACCTGCGTCACCACCATCATCATCAACATCATCATCAACATCATCATCATCATCATCAACATCATCATCATCATCAACATCATCATCATCATCAACATCATCATCATCATCAACAACGACATCATCATCAACATCATCATCATCAACATCATAATCATCATCAACATCATCATCATCAACATCATCATCATCATCAACATCATCATCATCAACATCATCATCAACATCATCATCATCAACATCATCATCAACAACGACATCATCATCGTTATAATCAGCACGATCAACAACAATGACACTATCACCATCATCACCATCAGCACCATCATTAGTATCCACAATGCCACTATCACCATCACCATCATCAGCAGCAGCACCTTTGATGTGTTTTTATTTCAAACAGTTTCCGAGCACAGGTGCCCAAAACGTCCAGCGGCCCGCAACAAACAGCACCGTCACGTTAAGTATTTCAGTCTAATTCCAAGCGTGCGTCGCCACGCTCACGGAGACAAGCTCCATTCAATACAAAGTATACATTCGAGCGAGTCCCTTCATTTTAACAACTAATGATGCCATCATCCAACGCTGTTAATCGACACCCGTATCGAGTGGACTTGTCCAGGACGCGTCACGATGGTCGAGAGTAAAACACGGGGTGGCCACGGTGGCTAGGAGATGTTAACTACCTCGCCTGGTGTACAGGAGGTCGTAGATTCATACCCGACGCTGACGCCTGCTGCTGTATATTTGGAGTTTGCGTGTCTCTCTCTCTCTCTTTCATCATCATCATCACGGTGGCTAGGAGATGTTAACTACCTCGCCTGGTATGCAGGAGGTCGTAGGTTCGATCCCGACGCTGACGCCTGCTGCTGTATATTTGGAGTTTCCGTGTCTCTCTCTCCTCGTGGTGGCTAGGAGATGTTAACTACCTCGCCCGGTGTACAGGAGGTCGTAGGTTCGATGATAACGCTGACGCCTGCTGCTGTATATTTGAGTTTCCGTGTCTCTCTCTCCTCGTGGTGGCTAGGAGATGTTAACTACCTCGCCTGGTATACAGAAGGTCGTAGGTTCGATGATAACGCTGACGCCTGCTGCTGTATATTTGGAGTTTCCGTGTCTCTCTCTCTCTCCCCGTGGTGGTCACGTGGATTTTTGTCCGGGTCCTCCGGTTTTCCCCTCCACATTCAGAATCAACATCGTGTGTTTGCGGTATTTGGCCGCTGCTATCCATGACATTACCACGTGATGATAAATAAGCCGCTTCGTTGAGCTATCATTTGTGGCCAGGTCGCTTCTGAAAAAGAGTTTAGTGCCAGATTAACTACGGAGTTGTTCCGAGAAAATGACGCCCGCCATTGGGAGATGGAGCGATGGAATTCAGTTCGCGTGCAAGGCGGCTCTTGGGTGGATTGCTCTAAGCATCGCAGTGATCGCGAGGGGGTGGCGACGGTTGTGCGGAGAGCTTCATTCAGCAGCGGATCGACCGTGGCGACGAGGATGACTCACTGACTCCCGTGACAGAGAGCCTCAATGCTCATCATATTCATCGTGCAGTCTCAACAGAGATTCCGAATCGGATGAAAGCGCCGTGGAATGCTGTGCGCGAAGAGCTAGCGCCTCACACACACACAAATATATATACGTATTTAAACAAGAGAGAACATTGTTTTGTTCTGTAGAACTTGTTCTCTGATATTCACTTCCGCGGGTCGTCCGGGTGGAGGCACTGCCTGGGCTACAGCTCCGCGTGGGGGCGCTTCGGTCTCTTGAGCCGACAGCGAGAGCAACAACGTTGGAGTGGAAAGTAAAATAAAACATTTTTTTAAATAAAGTATGTGGGGGGAATAAAACCAAATATTTATTCGAGAAGGGAAATGTTAACGGCTGTCGCGCAAAGGCACTTGGGTGCGGAATGTGCAAGGCTCACACAGCAGTCTACACGGAGCAAAGACAAAGATCCCCCGTATAACCTGTAACAGACTGTAGGGGCAAGTGCTGTGAGCGAGCGCCTATGAAGGCCGGCACGGCACACGACGGGGTGGGTGTCTGTGTGTATGTCTGTGTGTCTGTCTGTCTGCATTGGTGCTCGCTAAGAGCACTTGCCTCGACAGTCGAAACGACTATACGGGTCGTCTTTGTCTTTGTTTCATTGGCCCACCTGTTCTCTATCAGTCTCTCTCTCTCTCTCTCCGTCTCATATAGGTGGCAGAGGGCACTTGAAACACCCTCAAATAGCCTTGGAGGAGATGGCTCCTTGAAGGGAAACCAATCGCTGGCATTGCCGGCTAACAAATGCGCTCTCCTAGTGATCATGATGACCACCGCCACCCAAGTCAACCCATCTCGTTCGTCGATAGCATCACGTGTGGCCCTTCAAAGGAACACGTGTACCAGGGGCTCCTCTACTTGCGAACAAGTTAGGTTCCAGAGGTGTCTGTTCGTAAGTCGATCTGTTCATAAGACCACCTTTACTGCTGTCGATTACAAACGTGTTGTACGGCGTGTACACTAAACATGGGGGAATGGCTTCAAAAGTTGTATACTCTCCTGTAGATGTAGATGCCACTGGTTCTTCATGTTCTGTAGATGTAGATGCCACTGGTTCTTCACATTCTGCTGATGTAGATGCCACTGGTTCTTCATGTTCTGCAGGTGTAGATGCCACTGGTTCTTCACATTCTGTAGATGTAGATGCCACTGGTTCTTCATGTTCTGTAGATGTAGATGCGACTGGTTCTTCACGTCCTACAGATGTAGATGTCACTGGTTCTTCACGTTCTGCAGATCTATATGCCACTGGTTCTTAATGTTATGTAGATCTAGATGCCACTGTTTCTTCACATTCTGCAGGCGTAGATGCCACTGGTTCTTCACATTCTGCAGATGTAGATGCCACTGGTTCTTCACATTCTGCAGGCGTAGATGCCACTGGTTCTTCACATTCTGCAGATGTAGATGCCACTGGTTCTTCACATTCTGCAGGCGTAGATGCCACTGATTCTTCACGTTCTGCAGATGTAGACGCCACCACCGCCATCTCTTGCGCGGCGGTTGAACTTACGACTCTCGGTTCGAACAGGCAACTGGACCTACGGACGAGGTTTGTTTGTATCTCTCAAAGTTCGTAAGTCGAATGCTCGTAAGTAGAGAGATAGTGAGACCAGAGAGATAAGAGTTGGGGACTGCACGTGTTTACATCGTGGGGAAAGTAATGATAATTCAATAGTAAACATGTTTTCTGACTAATAGTTTTTTTTTTAAATCGGCGTGTGAATAGTATACACGATGAGCAGCTATTGAATAACAGACAAACCTCTTCAATAATCCAAAAAAACGATATTCCCAAATGAGCTCAATGTTAATGCCTCACCCACGGTCATCGCACTGATGCGAGGCAAATGAAAATTATTTTCTTCCCAAATGATTATTGACCCATTGCCGCTCCTTTCCTTTCCCCATTAACAATCGGCGGTGGTGGGGGAAGTCCACATTCCTATGGCGGGGGCGAGTCTTTCCATGGGATAAACGATTTGGTGACGCTGCTGCTGCTGCTACTGTGATGGCAGTGGTGCATTAGCGCAGTTCACATACTAAACAGACTTGTTGATAATCTCTATAAGGAACGGTATTTACGTACGAGGCCACGTTTTAGGGGCACATAAACCATATACTTCTCAGTGGTGAGTGTGGGTGGTGAGTTTCAGGAGGTGAACGCGAATATTTCTGCTGTGTGGTGTTTGGTGAGTATCCTGGTGAGTGCTGAGTGTCGTGCCAATATCCGGTGAGCGGTGAGCGGTGAGCACGTGCGTTCGAGTGTGATTGTGTCAGCTGATTGGTGAGCGCGCCAGGTGACGTGTGGTTGTGTGTCCTGTGCACATCCGGTGAGTGTCTGGTGAGGGAGCGAGTGATGAGTATGTAGGTGATTGTCGTCTGATTGGTGAGTGAGTGAGTGAGTGGTGAGTGAGTGGTGAGTGAGTGGTGAGCGGTGAGTGATGAGTGAGTGAGTGAGTGGTGAGTGAGTGGTGAGTGGTGAGTGAGTGAGTGAGTGGTGAGTGAGTGGTGAATGAATGGTGAGTGAGTGGTGAGTGAGTGGTGGGTGAGTGGTGCGTGAGTGGTGAGTGAGTGGTGCGTGAGTGGTGAGTGAGTGGTGAATGAGTGAGTGAGTGGTGAATGAATGAGTGGTGAGTGAGTGGTAAGTGAGTGGTGGGTGAGTGGTGAGTAGTGCGTGAGTGAGTGGTGAATGAGTGAGTGGTGAGTGAGTGGTGAATGAATGAGTGGTGAGTGAGTGGTGAGTGAGTGGTGAGTGAGTGGTGAATGAGTGAGTGGTGAATGAGTGAGTGGTGAGTAAATGGTGAGTGGTGAATGAGTGAGTGTTGAGTGAGTGGAAAATGAGTGAGTGGTGAGTGAATGGTGAATGAGTGAGTGGTGAGTGAGTGGTGAGTGTTGCCGACCACCCACCCTCACCGCCGCCTCTGCTGCCCTCTGTCTCGGAGAGGAATCCGTCCCTGGGGGTGACTCCATCATCACCGCTCGCTGCTCCATCTCCCGTCAGATGCCCTCCGCCTCCACTCGCCAGCTCTGGCAATGGATCTGACCGACGGTTCAACACACGGGCCTCAACTTCACGTCATCACACCTCAACCTTGCCCTGACATCAGACACACACACGAAGTTATCGTTGAGTCGATTACCCTTCCACGTGTAGCCTTTCCAGGCGAGCACTACCCCCCCCCCCCTCCCCATGGTGGTAGAACTTGTTCCAAGCGAGCAAATCTACAGCACCGGTTTCGACGTTGCCGCTTCTCATCGGCAGTGTCAGGCTCGCTGAACACTTGCTGCTTTGCTCGCATTGCATCGTCAGATGCTATAGGCGAGGGAGCACCCCTCGTGTGGTAAGAGCGTGTGACACGACGTTGTTCAACGTTGCTTTGTTAAGTTCATTTATTAGGTGTAGTCCTGTGAGCCATTCGGCTCTTGAATCGGGTGCAACCGCAACAAACAAAAATAAAAACATGAACAAAAAACATCTTACAGTGAATATGTGACTGAGTGCAAACAGAAAATCCAAGGAAAGACAGTAAAATATTGCAGAAAAAGCACCGTACACAAAAATGTGCAAAAATCCCATTGGGATGCAAGTCAAACAACAACAACAACCACAAGACAACTTAGATTAAGGCCACCAGTCTAACTCTGTACTACAACAAAGAAACATGGCCAAACCAAAAAACTGATCAAAAATCACCAAAATAAAGCCATAAAAGCAATGAAACAGTGGTCATAGGAACTGTGACCGAATTTTCACAATAAACGACGTCAACAACATACACAGTCCACCCCCGCCGCCCCGGCTCTCTGACTCAGTCGGTCACACGGACGTTAAAGACTCTCCCGCATCAGCCACTCGTCTCTTCAACAACAAAACTCGAGCGACCTCTCCCCACCGTTGTCGCAGAGAGCGACGAGCGAGTGAGCTTCGGCGGTGTTTTTAAATCCTTTATATTAAGTTCACTTGCTTGCTTGCGCGCTTACGACCGTGCAAATCTTTCAGTCGTTTTTTTACCCACTTCCCGTGATCCAATCGAGCTGACATTTTGCACACAGACTCGTTGTGCGTGACAATTTTCCAAAATTTTACACTTTTTAGGAAAAAAATAAATTATATTTAATTACCAATTGCTTAATGGTAGCAGGCAATCATCTGACCCATAGGTGGCAGCCATCTCAAGCCAGAGGACGAGAGGACTCTAGCCGCCGCGCATATAAAGGATTTATAGTGAAAACTTTGTTTTTTACGGGTTAATTTTTTTTTAAAATTCTTATCCTTCCTTTGCATCATCTTACGATGAAAACGTGCGAATCGGGTTTTTAGTTTTGTGTTACCGAGTTCACGTTGCGCCAATCCGCTACTGCCGGTCGTGACGAGCAGCAGGCAAAGAGCGGCGCGGATTCGTCTCCACGTGGTCGTCGTGGTGGTCGTGGTGGTCATCGTCGTGGCGGACGGAGAGCAAAACTGACTTGTCCTGTCGCTCAGCCGAACCCCCTTAAAACACGGAACCCACCGCTCAACCTCCCCGCGCTCTCCATTCAACAGCGCTCATCACGCGCCCCCATCACCCTGCACCCATCCCACTCAACCCACCACCAACCCCACGGCCCTCCTCCACAAGCACTTTGGATGAAGCAGCAAAAGTTCAAGAAGAGAGAGGAGGAGGAGGAGAGAGAGAGAGAAACACACACCACACTGGCACTCTTAAGATGTTCGCAGTTTGAAGACGGTATCTGTCAAAGTGAAAAATATCTCTGAAGGTGGTTAAAGGCCCTCAATCCTTAGACGAGGGTCGGGGGGCGGCACGGCGCTCTCCTCTCGAGGGCAGCTGCGATCCCCCCCCCCCCCCGCTAGTCCTGTGTCAACATCATCCTGACAAAAAACCCCCACCTCGTTCGCGAAAAATAAACAAATAAAGAAATCGAGACGACTACATTAATCGTTTTAACAACTTTAGATTTAAAGCTTTCGTGACTGCAGGGATTCATCTTCTTGGTTCTTTCGGTAAAGTCACGTAGAAGGGAAGTAATAAAATAATAAAAATAAAACATAATAAAATAATTCTCACGACGTTTCGGCCACAACGCAAGCAGCCGTCCTCAGGTGAAGACCAGGTCAGACGCTGTCTCCCCGACAGACCTGGTCTTCACTTGAGGACGGCTGCTTGCTTTGTGACCGAAACATCGTGAGAATTATTTTATTATGTTTTATTTTTATTATTTTATTACTTCCCTTCTACGTGACTTTACCGAAAGAACCAAGAAGACGTTTTAACAACGTCGGCTTTCGCGACCAAGAACATCCGTCAAAATATACGCTGTTTTTTTTTGTTTGGGGTTAATTCGCGTGAATATATAAACATGCGTCGTTAAACCCTCCACCACCCAACCTGTCACATTTACATCGCTCTCGATGAGTGACTCGGTGGGACTGCTTCGCAATGTCTGGCTGTCGCCTGATGAAGCTGGTAGTAGTCGTCGTCGTCGGTGTTGTTGTCGCTGTTGTAATCACCAGCGGATCTTCACGGTCAACTCGAATTGTACACGCCCTGGGTTTACTCTCCAACACACCGGTGGTGCTGAAGTGGTAACGAATTTACACTATGGGAACCTCATTTGCCAGTAAAAATATGATAATTGGTTTTTTACCCTTCTATCTGGCAACAAAACTGACACCTTTTTACAAGGAGTCATGTTTGCATAAACCACAATACCTGCAGTCATTGCGGTCTATGCAAACACGACTCCTTGTAAAAAGGTGTCAGTTTTGTTGCCAGATAGAAGGGTAAAAAACCAATTATCATATTTTTACTGGCAAATGAGGTTCCCATAGTGTAGATGCTTGCCCCGAGCTCTTATACTCTGATGGCGCATTGTCTTTGAGTTGTGCGCCTTTTGGCGTCATCTGGTCCAACTCATGTGAGACTAGGCTCTAAGGAAAGCTGTCTCGGGTGTGGACCAATCAACTTCAAGGACAGTGCATACATTATCAGAGTTATGTTCTTTTGTTTGTATTATGACTGCAGGTATTGCGGTCTATGCAAACATGACTCCTTGTAAAAAGGTGTCAGTTTTGTTGCCAGATAGGAGGGTAAAAAAAACAATTATGGTAACGAATTGCCACGTTCCGTCTACGTGACACACCTTACTAATTGGTTGCGTCGGGTGGTGGCGGGTTGAACGACGCATTTATATTTACGCGATCTAACCCAAAAACCCTATATCATGAACATTAGTCATTACATTTCCCCAATAAAATTAACAACATTTTACATAGAGAGTGAAAACCTATTGTTATGTTTGTATACTCGCAAAACAGGTCCCATCGGTTTATCTGCTCAAACCGAGTTACAGATGCCCCGCTACTTGGATTGTCTTTATTCCTGTTCGCCTTGTGGCGTCCTTCTCTGGTCTGACACCGGTGAGACGAGGCCCTGACGACAGCTGCTGCGTCTGGTGTGGGCCAATCAGTTTCAAAGACGATTCCAGATATGATCAGAACGCGTTCCGTTGCATGTTCTGCCACAAGCACGTGTGGTTAATGCGGGCTTGATTGCCAGGGAGGGAAAAACCTACTCTTGTTTTTTATACTTTGACACTGGCAAAAGGTCCCATAGATGCAGCATTACCAAGCACTCCGCTAGCCCCCTCCTCCTCCTCCTCCACCTCCATAGACAAAGATCCCCTCCACCCTAGTATAGTCTTTACAGACTATTTGGGGCAAGTGCTGTTCGCATGCAGCGGCGAGTGGAGGGGACGGGTGGCCGGCACCACGCACCCCTCGCGGCAATATTTCCAACACACCGCGTGCACCAGGTATTCATTTGAGGCTGAGTCGACCTAGGGGAGGCCCAGGAACCACGACCACCAACTTCACCGCTGCCTCCCCCACTGCGGCATTTGAACGCCCGGCGGGTCTTTAGAAAGCTTTGAACCCCACACTCCTAACTCTCTCTCTCCCACTGCCTCGCCATTCCCTTTGCCATCGCGTCTCGCTGATGGGCGCCCTCGAGTGTCCAGTCCGACGCGAGGTGGCTTTCGCCTTCAAAGAGAAGACGTTGCTTAGGGGAGGAGGGGGGGAGGTTTTTTTCCTCTCCTCTCTCCAAACGCTCGAGTGTTTTTTTTGTTGTTCTTGGAAAAAGCACCGCATTCGGCCGCAGCTGGTGCCAGTTCTCGCTTGCGATGTCGCCTTCCCTACCTCGCCGCTGCGATGCGATGCCACCCATTGCAATGCTGTCCAAAGCTTGCGAGCTGCACTTTTTTGGCCCACTCTGTATATCTCTCTCTCTCTGTGTAACACAACAATATCGATCGTCCGTGTCAGTCATTGGTGACCGGGCCGAGAGAACGGCGTCAGAATCAGAATATGTATTCACACTGGAGGAATCCGACGAGCTATTGAACTCTCTCTCTCTGTTGTCAAGTAGTTAACTCGCTGCGTCATTAACTCGCCACGTGGGCCTTGAGAACTGAAGCCGGGATTCGAACCTAGGTCCTCAGGTGTGCCGGTGGATCAGTGTCTTCGACATGGCCATTAAGACCCCCCAAACAACTCCCCCCCCCCCTTCCCATACCCCCCCCCCTCCTTCCGAGCCACTCGGCTACCTCAATCCTAGCGGATAAATCGCCCCCAGATAACGAGGAGGACTGCCAACAAGCCGGCAGTGATTGTTGTTGTTGTTGGTGAGTGGCCAAGCAAAGTAAATGCAGTCGCCCGTTAAGGCGCCGTGGCTCTGGATAAAGTCACGGGGGAGTGGGGTGGGGGGGTCTCTTAGATTCACGTCGCTCGCTCGCCGCTGTCACATGTTGACATCGCTCTCGATTAGCGGAGCTATGTCTGGCTATCGCCTGATGAAGCTGGTTGTCGTTGTCGGTGTTGTAATCCTAGATTTGAAGCTTTCGTGACTGCAAGGATTCATATTCTTAGGTTTTTTTCGGTAAAGTCACGTAGGTAAAAAATTAAAATGAATAAAAGCTAAAAAAAAAAATCACGACGTTTCGGAGGCAACACAAGCTTCCGTCTTCAGAAATTCCAAGAAACAGTATTTTTATATATACTGGTTGAGGGTGGGAGGAGCCAAGGTAGGCCCTGAATATTATTTTTGTGAGGTTCGGTGCGGCTGAAGCACGCTGTTAGGAATGAACCTTTGTTGTGTAAACTAGGTGCGGATGATGTAAAGGTGCGTATAAAAGGGACTGAGCCTTTTTGTTATGTAGAGATGATGCGGCTGAAATCACTGCCAGGAAATGAGTGTTGTAATCACCAGCGTATCGTCACGGTAAGCTCGAGTTTGTACACATGCCCTGGGTTTACTCTCCAACACCCCGGTGGTGCTGAAGTGGTAAGGAATTGCCACGTTTCGTGTATGTGACACACCTTACTGATTGGCTGCGTTGGGTGGTGGCGGGTTGCACGACGCATTTATATTTACGCGACCGAACCCACGACACCTTGATGATGGATAATGTTGGTCGCGAAAGCCAACTTTGCGTTACACTTACTAGGGAACCATCAAGAGGCACAATTCCCTCCCCAGTGCTGTTAGCGAGTAGAGTAACATATGAAGGCGCGGTGTGGAACAGAACGTCGCCCGGCCGACTTTGTCTCCCTCCCCACCCACCGGTAACTGAGTCTTCCCAGGTGGAACCAGTTTAGTTCATCACTCAGGCCTAGAATTAAACTCGGGATTGCTATGCGCGGGTAGTGCTAACCACTACGATACCGCAACCCGATGGAGCAACAGCAGCACTTGCCCCAACAGCTCGCGTGCTTATATAGGGCGGTCTTTATGGCCTTCACCGCGGTGATGTTTGCAAGCGCCTTTGAAAGCCAACACGGGCGGGATGTGGTGTAGCTGGCACCACGACTCGGCTGCCTTTGTCTCCCCAGTGACGTCCGCACCGCACCAGTCGACCGAGACGTATTTTTAAATCCTTTATATTAAGTTCGCTTGCTTGCTTGCTTGCTTAGGACCGTGCGAATCTTTCGGTCGTTTTTTAACCCACTTCCCGTGATCCAATCGAGCTGACATTTTCCACACAGACTCTATGTGCGTGACAATTAATTTTCGTGAAAATAATTTCCCAAAATTTTACACTGTTTAGGGAAAAATAAATAAATATTTAATTACCAATTGCTTAATGCTGGCAGACAATCATCTGACCCATAGGTGGCAGCCATCTCAAGCCAGAGGACGAGAGGACTCTAGCCGCCACGCATATAAAGGATTTAGAGTGAAAAACTTTGTTTTTACGGGTTATACTTATTAAATCCTTTATATTAAGTTCACTTGCTTGCTTGCTTGCACGCTTACGACCGTGCAAATCTTTCGGTCGTTTTTTAACCCACTTCCCGTGATCCAATCGAGCTGACATTTTGCACACAGACTCGTTGTGCGTGACAATTTATTTTCGTGAAATTTTTTTTCCAAAATTTTCCACTTTTTAGGAAGAATTTTTTTTTTCATATTTAATTTAAAATACCAATGTGATAAAAATGAAACTCTTACTCAAGATAAACAGAAATGAATAATAAA